TGCTTTGCTTTAGGGGTATTGCAGTGGTGCCAGGCAGCCCATATCACAGAATAGGAATCTGTCTGGTGAGAAATTACTCACTGGAGTAATTACTCGCTACTCTGGAGAAGTTCAAGGCCTTGCCGTGCATTGGGATGGAGCCTGGGTTTCTGGTGCAGTCAGCAATGCTCCTGGACCACACCACAGCAAACAGGTCACTGCTGTGGTGGCAATAGCACTGGCTGGTTGCTGAAGTGAAGGCTCACTCCTAAAAGACCTCCCTACCTGGGACTTCTTTCCTTAGACCTTCTGGCTTTTATTTTGCAGGGGCTGTGTTGCTCTTCCTCAGAGACGCTCTGCAGACATCTGCCACCCATAGTGCAGTGAGACCACAAAGCCAGTCCTGAGTCCTGGTCCTGAAGGCTGAGGAAGGTCAGAACATGTGAACGAAGAGGGACAGAGACTCCATCCTGGGCAGCCAGGGGATCCCACGCAGCAGCCAAATCAGTCCCTCCTGGTGATCACATCTGGAGTCCAGACGATTCTGATCTCAGAGATGAGGTGAGCCCTGCCAGCCCCATAGAAGCCCACAGTGTCTGCACTTGCAGAGAATTTGGCTGTGCCTCACCTAGATGTAGCTCTGCTCTGCTGAGGTCAGTGTGGAGCAGGCCGTGCTGCCATCTACCCTCTCTGTGAAAGGAGGAGAGAGCCGGCTTGGCTGGGCAGGAAGGTGCAGGAATGGCTGCACAGCCAGTTCCAGATGGAGGATGCTGGATGAGCCCCAGCAAGGCGTCCCCACAGGTGAGGCAGGTGTTTGCAGTGGCATCAGGAATGGGTTTTGCCTTTGGAGTTTTGGGGAGATCAGTGTTGAAGCTCTCTGGAGGGGTGAGCTGGAAGCTCAGCAGGCTCTGAAGACTGCAGGGCTCCCAGTGCCGCAGCCGATGGAAGGAATGAGAGGAATGTGGCACGTGGGCTGGGCAACATGCTCCCAAAGCCAAGGGTGAGAGTAGAGCCCAGGGTACTGGTGGGGCCAGCGCAGGGCAGCAATGCCAGCTGGTGGGATGAGAACCCCCCAGAGTGCTGCATCCTGCTCTGTGGCCCCCAGCGCAAGAAAGACATGAACCTGTTAGAGAGGATCCAGAGGAGAGCCATGAAAATGATTGGAGGGCTGAAAGCCCTCTCTAAGGAAGAAAAGCTGAGAAGAGAAAGATCTGGGGAGACATTTGCAGCCTTTCAATACCTACAGGGGGCTTGTAAGAAGTATGGAGAGAGGCTTTTTCTACGGCCTCTCAGTAGAAGGAGCGGTGGTTTTAAACTGAAAGAGATTAGATTTAGGTTAGATATCAGGAAGTCATTCTTTACTGTGAGGGTGGTGAGACACTGGAACAGATTGCTCAGAGAAACTGTGGATACCCTATCCCTGGAAGTGTTCAAGGTCAGGTTGGACAGGACTTTGAGCAACCTGGCCTGGTGAAAGATGTTCCTGCCCATGGCAGAGGGGGTGGAACAAGGTCTTTAAAGGTCCACTGGGGGACTGCACCTTACCAGATGTCTGCTGGCAATACAATGCAGTGGACTAATTTTTGCTTCTTGGAGAATTAAGGCTTGTGATTGCCAGAAGGGCTACCTTGGACAGTACTGGAGGGCAGACCTTGGCCTGATCAGGGGCCTGGTTGAGAGAGTCCTTCTGGAAGGCACTCCTGAAGGACAAAGGAGCCCAGCAAGTCTGGATGTTCTTCAAGAAGGAAATCTTCAAGGCATAGGAGCAGGCCATCCCCATGTGCTGAAAGATGAGCCAGTGGGGAAGGAGACCAGCCTGGCTGAATAGAGAGCTTTGGCTGGGACTGGGGAAAAACAGGGAGTTTATGACCTCTGGGAGAAGGGGCAGGCAACTCAGGAGGACTACAAAGATGTCATGAGGTTAAGCAGTGAGAAAATTAGAAGGGCAGAAGCCCAGCTAGGACTTAGTCTGGTTACTGCCATAAAGGACAATACAAAATGTTGCTATAAATACATTAGCAACAAAAGGAGGTGTAAGGAAAATCTTCCTCTTTTATTGGATGTAAGGGGGAAAACAGTGACAAAGGATAAGGAAAAGGCTGAGGTACTTAATGCCTTTGTTGCCTCAGTCTTTAATAGTAAGGCCAGTTGTACTCGGGCTACCCAGCCCACTGAGGTGGAAGACAGAGATATGGAGCAGAATGAAGCCCTTATAATCCAAGGGGAAGTGGTTAGTGGCCCGCTACACCACTTAGACACACACAGGTATCTGAGGTGAGGGGGGGGGTTGGTCTCTTTTCCCAAGTAACGAGTAACAGGATGGGAGGAATCGGTGTGAACTTGTGCCAGGGCAGGTTTGGATTCGATATTAGGAAATATTTCTTCACTGAAAGTGTTGTCAAGCATTGGAACAGGCGCCCAGGGAAGTGGTTTTGTCACCATCCCTGGAGATATTTAAAATATGGGCAGATGTGGCACTTAGGGACTTTAGTGGTGGACTTGGCAGTGTTATGTTTGGTTTGACTAGGTGATTTTAAAGGTCCTTTCCAATCCTATGATTCTAACCCAAAACACTCTCTGATTCTGTCCCCATCGCCCCCGCCTCGCCGGCAGACCATGCCCGGTCAAAAGGCGCATTGTGCATTGTGGCTGGGGCTGGGCTGAGTGGCAGTGCCGGCCAGGCAGCGAGCGATGCGCTCACCCCTGCCCGTGCAGCAGCAGCCCTCGGGCTCAGGGCTGGCGGTGTCGCTGGATGCATGGGCTGCTGCCTGGGGACCCCCTGGCACCAGGACCTGACCCTGGGGTGCACAGGTAAGCTGTTGTGTGGATGCCACAGCCCTGCTCTGCCTGAGCAAGGCTGCAAGAGCTGTGGCTGGAGAG